CTGGTGGGAGTAGGTCGCAGTTTACATGCTCGAGATGCGGGTTCGAATCTGCGTACCGACATGTTGTTATTCGGCATGAGAAAAATATTCATGAGAAGGGCGGAGCGAAGCGGGAAAAGACGGCTTGTGAGGAGGAAAAGGTGGTAGATAATAAAAAGTGTAGATATGATGTTTTCGGGCGCACAAGAGGACCGAGCTCGCTGTTTACGACGAGGATTGGTATAGGAATTGGCAGCAGTGATAGTGACGATAGTTGAGCGTTGCGGCTGTAAGAGAGATGTCATTTTTCGATGTTGCTGGTGTTAGTGTAGTACTTGTTATAATTATGTTTCTCGGATATTGAAAAAATGGGGATTTTTGTTTTTGTGCGGAATCTTAGGTTCAAGCGTGGTAGATACGGAATAGGTTGTCATATTGGAGTTTATTATAGAAGAGTATCTTAGGTTCAAGTGTGGTAGATACGGAATAGGTTGTCATATTGGAGTTTATTATAGAAGAGTATCTTAGGTTCAAGTGTGGTAGATACGGAATAGGTTGTCATATTGGAGTTTATTATAGAAGAGTATCTTAGGTTCAAGTGTGGTAGATACGGAATAGGTTGTCATATTGGAGTTTATTATAGAAGAGTATCTTAGGTTCAAGTGTGGTAGATACGGAATAGGTTGTCATATTGGAGTTTATTATAGAAGAGTATCTTAGGTTCAAGTGTGGTAGATACGGAATAGGTTGTCATATTGGAGTTTATTATAGAAGAGTATCTTAGGTTCAAGTGTGGTAGATACGGAATAGGTTGTCATATTGGAGTTTATTATAGAAGAGTATCTTAGGTTCAAGTGTGGTAGATACGGAATAGGTTGTCATATTGGAGTTTATTATAGAAGAGTATCTTAGGTTCAAGTGTGGTAGATACGGAATAGGTTGTCATATTGGAGTTTATTATAGAAGAGTATCTTAGGTTCAAGTGTGGTAGATACGGAATAGGTTGTCATATTGGAGTTTATTATAGAAGAGTATCTTAGGTTCAAGTGTGGTAGATACGGAATAGGTTGTCATATTGGAGTTTATTATAGAAGAGTATCTTAGGTTCAAGTGTGGTAGATACGGAATAGGTTGTCATATTGGAGTTTATTATAGAAGAGTATCTTAGGTTCAAGTGTGGTAGATACGGAATAGGTTGTCATATTGGAGTTTATTATAGAAGAGTATCTTAGTTCAAGTGTGGTAGATACGGAATATTAGAGTTTCACAACTACCCTAGTGATATGAAAAACATATTTCACGACTACTGCATATCACCGCGAATATCGTTACGTTTTTCACCGAGTATTACTACGCCACTTGAAATTTCATTATATCAATTTTCAGCTATTTTTCTTTCTTTCTATTCTCTCTACGATATGGGCAAAGACTACTACAGAGTTCTCGGTGTCGACAGAAGTGCTGGAAATCAGGAAATAAAAAAAGCGTAATAATTTTGTGGCGCGTGAAAAAAAATTTTGGTATCAGGTACCGGAAACAAGCTCTTCGGTGGCATCCTGATAAAAATCCTGATAATCGCGAAACTGCAGAACATAAATTTAGAGATGTGAGTGGAAAAACAACGAACGATTATTTCGGAATTTTTCGCGCACTTTTTCCCACTGGATATTCATCAGGGAGACTTTTGTATGGGAAAGTGGAAAATTGGAAATCCCCAACTTTTACTTTGGATTTTTCTGATATTTTCCCAATATTTTCCTGGTATTTTTTCCTGATATTCTCGCAATATTTTCGCAATATTTTTCCGGTATTTTCCTGATATTTTTCCAATATTGTCGCGGTATTTTTATGATATTTTCGCAACATTTTCCCGGTATTTTCCTGATATTTTCGCACTATTTTCCCGGTATTTTTATGATATTTTCCCAATAATTTCCCGATATTTTCCCGTCCTCAGATAGCAGAAGCGTTTGATGTATTGAGTGACCCTAAGAAGAAGCAAATGTAGTACACGGAAATCGGCGGAGCGAAGTTTTTTTTCTGAATTTATCTGAAAAATTTCCGTTTTTCTATATGTTTTTTTCAGAATTTTTGTATAAATTTTGTATCGGACATTACACGCTGAATTAACGCACGTGGAGTTTTCCGCAATTTTTTTTCCGGAAAATTTTTATTTTTTTGATCAGATATGATCAGTTCGGAGAGGAGGGATTGAAGGATGGCGGGCCAGGCTGTGGATTCGGACCCGGTGGCATGTAATCGTTTGGGACTTTTTCACCCAACCTTAAAACGTTCAAAGCGTCAGGCATCTCGACATCCAGTCGACAAAAATTCCTATGAGTGGTGGCATATAATCGTTTAGGGACTTTTTTACTCACTTTTATAAACGTTTATAGCTGTGTGTTTCTTTATGGGAGGTAGTAAGAGATCGATCCGAAAATTTATGATAAATTTACAGGAATCTTTGGATTTTTTCGAAGTTTACATACGTTTTCAGAAATTTACAGGAATTTCCGTAAATTTTCAGAAATTTTT